GAGGAGTAGGAGGAGGAAGAATAGGAGGAGGAGGAGGAGGAGGATGGAGGAAGAGGAGGATGGAGGACGACGAGGAGGAGGAAGAGTAGGAGGAGGAGGATGGAGGAGGAGGAGGAGGAGGAGGGAGGAGGAGGAGGAAGGAGGAGGAGGAGGAGGAAGAGGAGGAGGGAGGAGGAGGAGGAGGACGAGGAGGAGGAGGAGGAGAATGGAGGAGGAGTAGGAGGAGGAGACGAGCGTAGGGGGGGCCGCGTGTCCTCCCACCTACGGCGGCGGGGGCAGGGGCGCGGGCGGCGGGGCGCCAGGTGCGCCCTCCGCGCTCAGCGCCAGGTTGAAGACGGTGCCCAGCGCAGCCGTATTTATACATGACGGGGGGTTGGGTGCAGCGACAGATGATGAGCTGGAAGCTGTGGACGGAAAACGAACAGAATTCGAGCGACCAGGCAGCTGGACAGGGACGGTGAACGTCGCGATGAGAGGAGGGTGAGAAGGTGGGGGGCAAGCAACAGCAGGAGCAGATCTCGCGAGCGAAGGACCAGGAGGGGGGACTAAAGGATTCGAGTGAAGGGCACCGTGCGGCGACGTGAGGTGAGCAGCATAGGACAGAACAGAGAGGCGGGGTGGCACGACGGCGTGGGGAGAGGGGCACTGGGCATCGAGAACAGGAGAAGCGGGCACGCTGGACTGGAATTTCCCAGGCGGGGAGTCAGGGCGGGAGGGGGACCAGGACGCGGGACGTGGAGAGGAAGGCCATAGCCTCTGAGATCGCGGAGTGGCCGAGGACGCGCGGCTCGTGGCAACCCGAGACGAGAGAGCCGCCATCCGAGAAGCGCCCGCGGTGGCCGGCGCCGAAGGTGTAGCCATCAGGGTCGGAGGAGCCCGCATCTGAGAGCATGGCGACGTACCCCGCGGAGTCGTCGACCAGATCCAGCCGCGAGGAGAGAATCTGGCAACTCGCGAAGCAAGAGGCACCACAGTGTCATCCCCACAATTTGTGATAGCTCGTGGCTCAGGGTTCGAGGAGCACCCAAGAGCTGAGCTTTGCGTTCTGACCATATCCGCTGACGGGGAGCGCGCGGGAGGAACCGAGCACCGCCCAGCAGAGAGACCCTCGCAACATACTCTAAGAGCCTGAAGCGGCGGGTTCGAGGAGCACCCGCCGTCAGGACTTTGCGTTCTGAGCTCGGCAGAAAGGCGAGACCTCTCCTCGCAACATACTCGCTGAGCCTGGGCAGCTGGGTTCGAGGAGCACCCGCTGACAGGACTTTGCGTTCTGACTTCGATGGGGGTCGGTCCCGCCCAGTCGCAATCGCACAGGTCATGCGAGCGGACAGCGAGTTGAGGGGCGGCCACAGTCGGCAATGGAGTCCCAGGCGTCGGGAGAGGAGTACATGGGGAGAAGTCGAATGACACCAGATCGTCCACGTCCGTGTCAGAGTCCCGCAGCTCGTCGATCACTGCTGGCGTCATGCCAGGACCACTGGGCGTGTCTGTGTCAGTCACGTCGGTACAGGATGTCGATGATGAAGACGAGGAAGAAGACGAAGAGGAGGAGGAGGGGCGCCGAGCTCGTCTCGTCATAAAGCGGACGCTCCATTGCATCGGAGAATCGTCAGGCAGGGCACCAGTCGTCGCCATCCGCATGCTCCTCACACCAGCCAGTGCAGCACTCAGCGCGTCCTGCTCTGAGATCGGCCAGTCGGGGATCAAACGGATCGCGTTGCACATGCTCACCGCGGCGGCCATGAAGCCGAAGGCGGCCGTCGAGGGCGCTACGAGGCCCCATCTCTCAGCAAGCTCCAGAGGGAAGCCATGTCCGAGGGCGCGACGTAGAGCAGCATGCATCCGCACGCATCTTGAGCAGTGAAGAAGCGAGTCAGCGCAGTTGTGACACCCAAGGGCGCAGCCGCGCCTGCCAGCGGGGTGGGGAATGCGAGATGAGGCAAGCCAGCCATCGCACCAGGTCCTCAGCGCTGCCCACGCCCACGAACAGGGGCACAGATTGAGCGTGGCTGAGATTCGCTGCCAGTCGATCAGGTCGAGGAGAGCACCGTGTCGTGGAAAGAAGAACTTCTGCAGCCGCGTGCGGAGGAAGACGCGCAGCGGCGTGGCAGATGCCGCCGGGCCACGAAGAGCGCGATGGACAGCTCGCTGGGGACGGGGGCGGACACCAGGAGGGGTCTCGGCAGCACTGGCAAGCGCTTGACGAGCACGTGGGAGAAGCGATGCCCACGGTCCAGAAGGGGCGGGCCCGTCCAAGGCCAGAGCGAGGTTCTCCACAATAGCAGGGCTCCGCCAGAAGCCAGGGTATGGGGCGCCAGAGCCGATCATGTAAAGCGTCCTGGAGTCCGCGAGCGCACACGCGTGGGTCCGCAAGTCGTCCAGCAGCCTCTGGTGCTCGGGAAAGGTGTGGGCGGCCGCCCGCAGCAGGGACGCCGTGTTGAGGTGAGCCCAGCTTAGGGCCCGCGGGCCGCGCCAGCGGTCCATCTGCACCCAGGCGCTC